TCCTGAGGCGTCGAGCCTAGCCAAGTGTCTTTGTTTGTTAGCTCTGACCGCACACAGACGATGACTGCCCACGCGAGATGACCTTAACCTCTGGAGAGGAAACAGATGCACGCGCTTGCTCGCGCGCGTCAACTGGTCGCGTGACGTTATCCCCGTGCGGCCCATCAGACCACAAGAGAACGCGCAGACAATCTCTTCTAAGCCACTGTCCCTAGCATACATAGAGAGTTGCATCACACACCGGACTGCAATGACACGCTAGTCCGCTCTTAATGCCGGAGCTTGTCCCTAGGCGGGACCAAGAGCATGCTGGAGATCAACCAGCGGCAACTACCACCGGAGACAGCAACTCCGGGTTTTGTACACAATAAACCCTCCTCATGGATGCCCTTCTTATTGTGTTACTCCTTAGGGATTTCAGCAGGACGTAATTCGACAGTGACACACATCAGATGTCCCAGTTACAACATTTGCGATGCAGAACTCGTCGTTATAACACTATTAACTTACTGGAGCTTTCCTGGTGAAGCCCTTTCTACACAGAAATCGTTTCGAGCTCAATCTAACAGATTATGGAACTGAGAAGAAATAAACTTACTCGTTGGGTCAAAAACTTTATTAGCCTACTTGCGACTCCAACCCTCAGCGATACGAGACAGCGACCAACGACCTCCATGTCACTTTTGATATATGCAATAGCTCAACAAAATATAGGTTCGTCGCGATTTCGTCGCTCGTCTTGTTTGCGTATGCACCGATTGACAAAGTTTTGAGGGTAGCCATTTTCTCTTAATGATTGTCGAATAGAATGCTGTTTGGCAAACCTTTCCTATGGCTCACTGCAGTGTATCTCATCACGCTGATATAGCGCCATTGCACAACTATTTTTGGCTGTCGACTTTTAGCACTTGCGTCGTAGTTGACGCTTTCCTGAACACTTTCGCCTTTCAGCCTCTGTAATCATTGCGACAGACGAGGACACTGAGGATGACCGTCTGCTTGTTCTCTTACTCCTCCGTCGTAAACTGCATGTTCGGCAAGACCCTGTTGAATCGTTCTTTGGACGTGAGCAGCTGATCCCGTTCGATGACTGCAAAGGTATCATCTTCACACTAAAACCAGAGTCTCGATCTGTGGTGTTGGAAGACCAGCGACTCTACCTGTTGTAGGACTACTTCGGATATGAGTTCGCAAATCAGCTAACCCACTGGTGCTCTCTTCACCTGCTCGTAGATTGTTCCGTCAAGCGTGAAGTATGTCCTGAGACAGAAGCTGAAGGACTTGGGCGCATCCAAGGTGATTCTTCGTTTCATCGTATTTCCTTCGTGGGAGTCGTTCAACGGTCTTGACTGCCAGATCTTGGGGGATAGAAGTGGAATGTAACATGAGAAGGTACAATGACTTCGTTGGGTAGAAGACTTATCAGTTTAAATTTCTCCAAGCACTGTTTTGATGAAAACGCTGTGGGGTTCGAATCCGCAGCCAGTAATTTGAGACGCCGAATCAGGCACTTTTCAGTTCATACATCAGAGTGTCTTTGAGAAGTACGATGAGTAAGAGAGGAGCACCCTTCTTGTGCACCTTAGGAGGGCCATAGAACCGGGTCATGGCCGTTTCTTGGGTTTTCGCCGTGCGTCAATCGGTCGGCGTTATTGCACTCGAGTTCACCGGTGCCTTTAAGGCCCACGTGACGCTGATATT